ATGCAGGCATAATACTGAGCCCAACACCTGCCAGCACGAAGCCTCCAGGAAGTGTTAGCGACTGCTTTTACCACTTGGAGCCTTAGACCTGCCTCTCTTGGTAAGTGGTCAAAAGGTTTTTAGGTCATTGTTTTAAGCTATTTTTCACCATATTTTTCATGTAATCCTTGATAAAACCTCTGAGATTGTTCCTGCAAATATATTTTTCTGTAATATTTGTTTACTCAGTGGGATTAGTTGATCAATATGGCAGTTATTTCTCGCCTTTTCATTTCTTTTAGGCACAACATAATTTTTTTCAGGCTTTGGTCCTGCTGGTTTGTGATAATATGCATGAATTTCTTTTTAACAGTCTTTGTCTGTTTTTGGAATAACTTTTTTATACCAACTTCATAACTCAAAGAAAGAATCTCAAGCTTCGTTACTTTCCCACAGTCACCATGTGAGCATTTGAACCTCTGTATGACAGACCTTTATGGAAAATTAGACACAAGTTTCTAGCTGAAATTTAGATAAAAGAAAATATTATCCTGGTAGGCTTGCTCAATATTAATTAGAGATAGTCAAAAGGTTTCCCATCATTGACTGGCTTGACAACTATAATTCTTGAAGTCTCTTCAATGATATTTTGTAGTTTATACTGGTGTAGGTTATTGTGAAAAGAACTATGCACCAAGGAGGTACTATGCTAATTTGTAAAACAGAGTTATGGTGGCACTCATGCTATGAAGTAAAATCAATCTATGTAAACATATCAAACATATATTCAACTAGAGGCCTGGTGCATGAAATTAGTGCGGGGGGGGGGTTGTCCCTCAGCCTGGCCTGCACCCTCTGACAATCTGGGATCTCTCCTAAACCAGCAGTCAGACATCCCTCTCACAATTCGGGACTTCTGGCTCCTAACAGCTGGCCTACCTGTCTGCCTCATTGCCAGTAACCACTCACCTGCCTGCCTGATTGCCCCTAACTGCTCGCCTGCCTGCCTGATCACCCCTAACCACTCTGCCTACCTGCCTGATCACCCTTAACTGCTCACCTGCCTACCTGATTGCCCCTAACGGCCTCTGCCTCAGCCCCTGCCGCTGTGGCTTCATCTGGAAGGATGTCCGAAATGACATCCAGAAGGTCGTTCGGCTGTCTAGTCTAATTAGCATATTACCCTTTTATTATTGATAATAATAGATGATCCATTTTGGTTGATCCAACAAACATTTGCTCAGCCCCTTATAATAAGTGTGAAATGGAGATTCATTAAATCTTATTTCTATCTTAAGGGTGTGGAAATTCACACATTGTGTGAGATATGAACAATTTATTGTGTGAGTTATTTTATTCCTACTTTACACATGCAGATTTGAGGGTATGACTTTCTAAGATCTTATGGCTACCAAGTGGCCCAACTGGGACTTGTCCCCTAAGCCTGTGGGACTTCAAGTCCTTGCTTTTAGCTACTAGAATTCAAAAAGTCTCCCCCCACCCATACTGACTAATTCTCTGACACCAGTTGGTTGTCCTACAATTTAATTTAGTTCTGACACTATTTAATTAGAGCTAATGTCAGATCCCATAAGTTAAGGGCTCAGTCCCACAAGATTGTCCCTCCTCCAGATGCCAGTTGCAAGTCCCAGGTTGCCATTTGTACTTCTGATGCACTGGCTATAAATTGTGTTCCCATGACCCGCCTCTCTGGTTCAGAGGATAGGGAGAGGGGCCAAAAGTTTCAAGCTTCTAATCATGGCTTGGTCTTTCTCGTGACCAGCCCCATCCTGAAGCTATCCAGGAGCTCACCAAGAATCACCTCCTTAGAACAAAAGATGTTCCCATCACCCAGGAGATTCCAAGGCATTTAAGAGCTCTGTGTCAGAAACTGAGTCAAAAACCAAATATGAAAACAAAATGCTCCTAGAACCTTTATTAATTAGGAACTTACAGAGGTTTTAGGAGCTCTTGCCAGGAGCCATGGATCAAGGCCACAATATTACAATATTATATCACAATTTTACATGCCTGCAAATTTTTTCTTTTTAAGTTTCTTAATCCCAAGTGTAATTCCTATTATGTTCAAACAGCCCAGAGAATTTGGTCATTTGTACTATATTTTTCTCTGACAAGTCATGTAATTGGGACTTCATTATACTTCTTGATTGATTACGGTCATTTGTTTCACAATGCACATGTCCTTGATTTTCAAAATCATGTGTGAATTTAAAAAATTCCGGAATTTCTCCAGAAATATCCAGGTGCATTTTTATGGAACATAGTTTGATTATGTCCTCTCGCACTCCAGTCACACAGGCTAGATGTCAGATGCCTTGCAAGAGAAAGATAATGCACGTTTCTTATTCTTTTGCCCCGAAGGACGTTTCTTATTCTTTTGCCCCGAAGGAGTTTACAATACTGGAGAGGCTTGACAGTAAGGAGGCAGTACAAGTTAGAAAGATCTAGATTCTAATGCTGACTCCACTGCTTCCGGAGACTGCTCAACTCTCTCAGAGTCTGTAAAGTGCGGATAATAGTAGCATGTTCCTTACAGGTTGTGTGAGTATTAAATGAGATCAGGCATGTGTTGTGCTTGCTACATAAATGCTAGCTACTTTTATTATGGGAAACGCAGTAGAGACTCAGAAATTTCTGCATTGATGGCTTTAATGTCCTTTATTTCATCTCTATCATTTCCACTTCTCAGTACATGTGAATGCCTTTGCATTTCAAGAGCAAATGTGAAAGGACCCTAATGAAATGATTTGCTTCTTTAGTGTGATACATGTTTATAAAAAATAAGGCAACTGCCAACGTTTGTATTTCCTTTTACTCTAATGAATGAAAACCAAATAAGGTTAGTCAAGTTATAAAATCAAATATACTTATTTATTATTTTGTGAGTTTCTATAAATTAGCTAACCTCTGTGGGCTTCAGCATCCTCCTCTGCAAAATAAGGAGTTAGAACAGATAATTGCACCGTTTCTTTCCAGCTGAGTTTGATTCAACCAAGCATTAACATATTCATAATATTAGCTTGATGTTATACAGTTATCTTTCATATGCTCAACAATACTTATTCATTTTCTTCTTAGCTTTTTGTTATCAGTCAGAGGGAAATTCGGGAAGTCTTTGTTTCCTCTGTACATATTCTCAATCTCTATGGTGAATTTCAGAGCCTCTTTTTCTAGATCTGGGTGGTCTGGTCGCTCCAGAATAGGGGTAATCTTTTAGAGAAGGTCAGAAGCCTCCTTTAAATGGTTCCTGGAAAGATATCAGGGCCCTGGGTAAGCTATAGGCCCCCCTAACTGGGGAGAGGGTCAGAGCCAGGAATACTGGGTCAAACTAGAAGTGAATCTCCTCCAGGACTGGGGGCTTTAACTTCATTATTTCCCTTTAGTTCAGAAGTGTAAATGAATCATTTTCAAGGACATGTTGCTCCAAAGGGCAGAAAAATGTGTCAGTATGGGCGGGTCACAAAGACTGTGTTGGTGAGAAAATTAAAATGTGGACAAAGGAGGTCTATCAGGAGGGAAACTTTTTATCTGTCTTTCAGCAGGTGAGGAGGGTGGGACTTAGAGCTAGGTCATCAAGGATGTTCACAGTAGCATTTTAAAGTAGCAAAAATTGGTAACAATACTAGAGGATGCTTAAACAATTTATGATATGATTAGAAGATAGCATATTATTCATCAATTACAAATGGTGTTGATAAAGAATACTTATATGTCATGGGAAAATGTTCCAGATATAACAGATAAGAGCATATATCTGTTGAAAACTCTAAATAAAACATGACTTCAAATATGTAAAAATCTTAATAGAAAAACACATGGAAGACAATGGACCAGAAAATTAAAAGTATATCAGGGTGGTAAGATTATGGGAGATTTTAGTTTTAGTGATTATTTTTTACATTTCAAAAGGTAAATGTAATTTTTTTCTAAATTGTCTATATGAAATATGTCTTACTTTTAGTCAGAATAGAAAGCAGTACAAATTATCTTAAAAAAAACACCACCAACAACAAAACCCTTCCATATACAACCCAAAACCTAGGGTAATCCTATCAAACTTAGATGACCAGGAAAACAGAAAAAATGATTGGGAAGGTTTTGAGAAAGCCAGCAAGTACAAGATCCTGAGTCAGGAGCCAGATGAGGAAGCAGAGTGGGCCATACCAGTGGAAAGATTCAAATGCAGAAGGCATGGCTGAGGGAGAGGGCTGGGGGCGAGGGGCCGGCCTTGGGGAGCCTGCTCTGGAGCCTCCCTTCCTGCCTCTCACTTAACATTGAGTGATTCTTTGAGGGACATAGAGCGCATTTGATACCAAAGGGCTTTTGGTCACTTTACTGTCCCCCTCAGGACTTGTGATGTTATTTGACTCTCCCTTTGCTTAGGGAACCTCCTCTTCTCAGTGGGCTGTGAGCTTGCAAGGAGGGTGTGCCTCTCAAAGTTCCTAGAAGTGAGCTTGGTGTAAACAAAAGGTGCTTGTGTTAAATTCTCCAAAGGGCTACCTATGTCTAACACACAAGTTCAAGTCCTAATATTTATGACTCCTTTCAACACTGGTCTGAATTTTCCCAAATCCTCAATGTAATTCTTATTGTTGTTATTTCACTCTAACAATACGTCTATCCCCATCTCTCCTCTGTGAGAGGCTTTATCCGTTCTTTAGAATGCCTTGTTTGTCTACCCTTACATTCCTGCTGGATTCCACGCACCAGTTTTCCCCAGCTGTGACCCCAGACTATGGAGAATAATTCTCATGAGCCCATCAGAGAGTGACTGGCAATCTTTTTCAGTAACAAGAAAAGGATGCCTTTAAAAGAAAAGTCTAAAGTCATCAAAACAATGGTATATCCTGTGTGAAACAATGCCTTGAAGTTTGAGGACATGTGGTTTGATCAGGTGCCCCAGCGAAGTTAAGTTGGGGGTGGCCACAGATGACGGAGACTCGCAGGCCTTGGCGAGTGCGTCCTCAACCCACCTCACACTTAGGGCTCCTCCAGGAGGAGGGGCTGCAGCTCGGACCCACCATTAGCACAATGATCCTCAGGCTGCTCCTGGCTCTCAACTTCTTCCCATCAATTCAAGTAGCAGGTAAACGATTTTGATTTCTTTCCTTCTCTGAGTTTTACCCGTGAAATTTGGGTATTTGAAGTGTAGTTTTGCTATAAAATGGCAATCTGCTATTTAGAAGCTCGCTGGTTCTCAGACTGTATTATGATATTTTAATGAACATCTTTTTGGAATGAAATAAAATTTATTTAGCTATTATTTGAAAATGTCATATATATATATTTTAATTTAAGAAAACTACTAATAGCAGTTTTGTTCTGAATGCTCTGGAATTAGACTGCCTGCATTCATGTCACAGACCCATTTCTCACTAGCTAAGAAAGCTGAGGCTAGTGTTTAAACTCTCTAAGCCTCAGTTTCCTTATGCGTGGAATGGCGATGGCAATAACCCCATCTCAAGGTCATTGTGAGGATAAAATGAAATGATCCATGTAAAATGCTCAGTGTCGTTAGTGCTTGGCTGGCACGGTAAGTGTTACTTGTAATTACTATGTCTACCAGAATTGCATGAGTGCCAAAATGAATTTGGAGTCATTACATAAACGGGCACAATACAGATGCTAATAAATTAGGTTTTTTGGTTTTGTTTTTATGAGGGGCTGAAATCCATTTTCTTAGATTAAAATCCCTTAGGGTCCCAATGATGAGGACGAGGAGGATGATACACCAAACACTATTACAAACCCCGTTTCAGATGAAGGGCTGGAGGGGTAGGAATGTTAATCTGCCCAAGGGTATGCAGGTACCAGTTGTTGGAACCAGGGTTTGATGCTAGAGCCTATCTATGCTCTTGACCACTATGCTATCCCACCTCACATGATGTGGTTTATAATTTTATAGCTGCAGACACACCCAAGGTTCAATCATCTTTAGAAAAGTCACAATTCCAAACAGAAGGAACTTGTTGCTTTGGTGGGCTAGGGTGAGGTGTTTGTTCAGCTTGGTCTTAGAGTTGGAAAAGGGTCCTGTGTGGCTCAAAAATTGGACTGATAGGGGTTGATGGGATGTTTAAATAGAGTTATTTCTTTCCCTTGAAGATACATTGAAAAACCAGTACCTTCAATTTTCTATTTCATTTATTTTGGTGTGAGAAGACCGCATTATTTGTTGTTCTTAAATATCACGTGCACGTGCTCCAAAGGGTATAATTTCCCAACCTGCATAAGTACAATAGTTACATATATGCCCATCTGTTTCATTGTTTGATGTGCCAGTGAGGGCACTTACAAACTGTGTGTATTTATAAAAGGTGCTCATATAACGAAACACAAGCTGGTGATGCGGCAGGCTTTGCCCCAGTGTCTAGGACCAAGCATTTAGAGCTACTAAATTCATTTAAAAAGTATTTTTACATTTATTTTTAAAAAGGTCTTTAAACTCTATTTTTAAGGGATCTTTAAAATTTATTTTACAATAATATTTAAAATGCCTTAGTTTATTAGACAGCAAAGAATTGGCAGAAAAGAAGGAGAAGCCTCACTCTGGCAGAAAACAAATGGGTGGTTGTACACAAAAGCACTTTGCTGAAGTGCCTTGTGGACAGCCATCTGCCATCAGTTCGTTCACTGTCCTTTGAAGGTATTTTTTTGCACGACTCAAAGCTTCATATTTTTCCTTTAGAACATCTGCTAAAAGGGGGGAGCTAAAATGGCAGTCAGAGGGTTCACACACGCAAAACCTTTGTTTTTTTCAACTTTAAAATACATCTGCTTTTCAAACACCAAATCACCCTCCTAATAACTTTTCAGGTTTGATGCTGAGTGGTCAGCCAGTGAAGTAGGGAAGGGTTTGGGGTAGAGAGGGCACTTCTGAAATGCTTCTTCCAATGAAAAAATGTTTGAGAAAACACAATGACAACATGCACAAGTGTATAGTCCATTCTCATCAGTGGTGCCAACCCTTCCATGCGCTCTCTGTTTCTCTGTATTTACCCTATAAGAGGAAAGAGCAAGATAATTCTCTGGTCAGAGTGTAATTGTCCTCCTTAGGATTGTGAGAGGCTACTGGTATGTCTGTGTTGAATGTATGTGTATGTTTAAAATACAGAAGAACAGTTCCCCCCCGACCCATGAATTTAATAATCCTAATGCATTGGCTCACAGTGTAGTTTAAAATACTTATTCTAGGAAGGTTAAACCTACCCTAATTCTTCATGATTTTAATGACACTCTAGAACAGTGGTTCTCAACCTTCTGGCCCTTTAAATACAGTGCCTCATGTGGTGACCCAACCATAAAATTATTTTCGTTGCTACTTCATAACTGTAATGTTGCTACTGTTATGAATTGTAATGTAAATATCTGATATGCAGGATGGTCTTAGGCGACCCCTGTGAAAGGGTCGTTCAACTGCCAAAGGGATCGCGACCCACAGGTTGAGAACCGCTTCTCTAGAAAGCTCTTTATGGCCAAATTAAAGAAATATGACCTAGAAAGTGTGAGGAAGCCTTAACTTAGACAATTCCTTTGCTCAAGTTACATGTTTTCTACCAGATTTGGGTAATTGTACCGTTGAGATCCATCACAGATTTCTCTGGGCATTGGAATATGAGTCCAGCTCAGAACAGCAGGCCCTGGAAAGGGGCCTGACTTGGGACTGACGATGGAAGGAGTGTGCATATTGTTCGCAGATGTGTAGCCAATATTGGCTATTTTTCAGCAAACTAGTTATTCACTCTGAAGACAAAATCAGGACGACACCACTTATTTTCTCCATGAGAGCATTTATTGTCATTTAATCTTAGCAAATAAACCGTCAAAATGGCCAGTTTGAGCAGGATTGGTTCCTCCAGTGCTGTTGCATTTCCCTCAGCATGTCTTCTTCTGAGCGAGCCAGGAAGGCAGAACGATGGTATTTAATCGTCTCAATGATCAGCAAAGCAAGGTAATTAAAAACTTTATTTTTAGTTCAGCAAATGACCCCTCTGAGGTAGCTGTACACGAAAGGGAGTAACCCACTTCACAAAAAAAGGGCTGCTCTGACTGGACGTGGGTAAGTAAGGTCAGAAGAGGAACATCAAAAATGCGATGTAACCAGCAAATTGCTGAATCTACATGACATTCAATACACTGTAGCCAGTTTTCCCAACTGTCCAGAAATTGATTGGGTGTTTTTGTCATTTCAAGTAAATTTGACGGACATTTCCAAAGTATAGACCTTGCTTAAGAATTGTCTTTTATTCTACCACCATTCCCTACAATAAGGTACTACTTTTTATGTTTTTCAAAGGCAACCACCCAGAAAGGACCTTTACGGCAAGGACTGTAAAATTAATATCGATATATCAATGTCAGGAAATAGAATGAGTCATTTTCACAGACAGACGAGAAATAGAAATGAATCTGTGATCCTAACTTTGAAGCCCTCACATTCAAACCTTTACTAAGGGAGGTAGGAGATCTCACTGTCTCTCTTTCTTTAGACATAGACTGTCCTCCTTCTTAAGGCCTTTACTCTATGCTCATGAGTGTATAAGTTCCATATGACTATTTTCAGCTTTTATCATGTGTGACGGTCCTCCTCCCAGTATTTCCTGCATGCACTGCATACTCACCTGGCTACTGCAGGAGGTAGCGTGGGGAGCACCCAGCCATCCTAACCAAGTTCTATGAGCTAAAATGTTCAGCACTATCTACTCACTTTTTTTTTCCTGTAAGAGGGAGAAAAAGAATGCATACAAGCAGTGAATACTGGAGTAGATTCGTTGGGTGGCCCGTGGCCCCTAAATCGTTCCTGGCTAGTCCCAGGAACCAAGGAATGCCTCCCCACAGGCCAGCCCTCAAAGCTCACCTCAAAGCTTGCCTTCAGAAAACCAGAAACGCCCACCCCTATCCAACAAACCATCTGCAGAGAAAGCAGAACCTGTGGGCCTGGGAGGGAGCCATCTGTGCTACGCCTGTGCTTCCCCCTCCCAGGCACTAAAGGGGTGTAATCTGCCGGGCAGGGCGGAGGCCCTCACAGTCCTCACGAGGAAGAAAAATCAATGGAGTCCCTTCCCCCCATCGTTTTGAATTTTGGTGCATCTCCGTGTGGCAAAAGCCTCACGAAATTTCACCATCAACACCATTCTTAACTCAGATAAGCAGACAAAGCCTTACGGTTTGTCCCCGCTGGCTGCCCTCCCCGCCCATCACCATATTTTGGTTCCTATTCATTTTGGATGCTCTCCTTTAAAGCAATGACAAAAAAAAGATAATGATTATAAAACATTATTTACAGAGGCATAAGACAAAGCAAAACCCTGCAGGAGAGCAAGAATAGTAAAGACAGAATGCCCACACCAGGGCAGGGAAGACGGGTTACTTTTAGGATGACCAGGGCACCCTGTCACGCAGGCTTCCCCTGAGTGTTGGCTGAGGACCTAAGGCTGGGGTGTCAGAGCATGGAGAACGGTGGCATGAGGAATGGGGAGAGATGGGAGATGGGACTCCTGCTTGGGGCTGTGAGAAGAAAATCCTCAGAGACCCAAGGAAGCTGAGGGGCATAAGTCTTGTCATCCCCACCCCAGCTGGGGATGAACAGGGCCACTCCCCGAGGGCGGGGGTGCATGTTGGCTGCAATGATGGGAATCATGCGGCTTGGCACGGGCTGCCCAGGCACCATGGAACCTGGGCCTGGTGTGACGTGGCTGGGGTGGGTGGGGCGGCGGCATCCCCTGCTGCATCAGAGGGTGGCGGGGGGCACTGCTGGCGAGGCATCATGTCGGGGTGCCCTGCTGCTCCCCGCAGGGCCGGGCCAGGCCCCCTGGAGTGCTAGTGTGCACGTGAAGGGTTCTGCTTTCAGCTTCTCCACGTGGAAGTCCTGGCGTTCAGTAAGCAGGTGCTGCCGCTGTTCTAAGCCTCCTTCTGTCCACAGTCATTTCCGGCCCCTCACCATGCTGAAGTGTGATCTCCAGTTTCGTCACCCGTGTCTCAACCAGGAGAGTGACCTTGATCTTTCTCTTCCAGGGCAGCCAGGTGCTTGGCTTTGGTGGCAGCTGAGGCGAGAGCAGCTGCTGTGGCTGTGGCTACGTTTCCTTCAGA